GGACTTCTTTCAGACCTTTGCCCCAACCCCGAAGATGACTACTCTTTGGGAGCTACTACACGTAGTAGCACAGCGTGAATACGAGCTCCACTCCCTCGACTTCTCCATTGCTTTTCTTTAGGGCAGCCTACACGAGCAGGTCTATCTGCACTGTCCACAGGGCTTCACCGGTACCTTCCCTCCTGGGACCCAGTGGCTCCTCTGGTGCCTGGTCTATGGTCTGCGACAGGCGCCTCGTGAGTGGCACGACACTCTGCGCGCTACGCTAGCTGATCTGCAGTTCTTCCCGTCGTCTGCAGACCCCTCGCTCTTCGTTCGTGCTGGCCAGACTCTGCTCTACATCCTTGTCTACGTAGATGACCTAGTCTTCGCTACTGCAGACAAAGACGTACTGGCCTCCGTGAAGGCCTAGCTGATGAGGAAACACACCTGCACTGACCTAAGAGAGCTGCGCCATTATCTTGGTCTGCTGATCTCCAGGGATAGAGCAGCGCGCACCATCACTCTCACCCAGTCACACTTGGTGCGTCAGGTCCTTCAGAGGTTCGGTCTTCAATTCTCCTGTGCATAGCCCACACCTCTGCCAGTAGACCACATGCTCTCTGCTCCAGTTCCTAAGGAGTCGGTAGAGCCTAGTGGTCCTTATGCAGAGCTGGTGGGTTGCCTTATGTACCTGATGACTTGCACTCATCCAGATCTCGCATACCCTCTCAGCATCCTGACTCGCTTTGTGGCCACGGGCAGACACCGACCACATCACTGGTCGGCCGCTAAGAGGGTTTTGTGTTATCTAGCAAGTACACCGGGCATGGGGCTTATGCTGGGAGGACACTGGCAAGTGGTCCTTACCGGGCATACAGACGCTTCTTGGGCAGACGATGCTGAGACACTCAGATCCTCCCAGGGCCACTATTTTAGCCTTGGTTCAGGTGCCATCTCGTGGCGGTCCACTCGCTCCTCGTCGATTGCCCAGTCTAGCTATGAGGCTGAGATCTACGCCGGTGCCATGGCGGCACAGGAGCTCCGCTGGCTGACCTTGTTGCTCACCGACTTAGGTGAGCGGCCTAGCTCTGCTCCGGTTCTGTACGTTGACAACAAGGCCATAGTCCTCCTGTGTCAGGAGCCTCGACTTGAGGGCAGAGCGAAGCACATCCAGCTGCAGAGCCTCCTGCGTGAGCTACAGCAGCGCCGCCAAGCCCGTATAGTACACTTGGCCTCCAGTGCCATCACAGCTGATATCTTTACGAAGGCGCTTGCGCCTTAAGATCATCAGCGGCACTGCTTGCAGCTTGGTCTTGTTCCTGTAGGTACTCCCTTGCTAGGACCTTGATTGTGTACTCCTCTTTATATATACATTTCTGACTGGCCTTGTGGCTTCTCTTCTAGTGGCCAGACTAGTAGTGCCCATGGCTTATTTTATCAGAGTAAATCACTCTGTTTCTCTGAAAATCAGAGTCGTTTTTGGAAGTCACTCTGATGGTCCTGGGTAAATTTTTGAAAGTTCTCTTTTCTCTGATTTATCAGAGTTGGTGTATGTACCACCCTGTGGGTATTCATATAGGGGGCATACCCCCGGATATTCCCTGTACTCCTTATAGACACACATACGCGTGGCCTGGATTCCTGGGCGGTTTCACGCGAGTCGCCCGCTGACTGTTCGCCATTTGCTGCCAAACTTCCTGCCGCTGGAAGATCCCTCGGTGCCCATTGGACACTTGGGCATTTTCTCGCGTGGCATCAGCAGCACAACCACGTGCGGCAGCTGAATTTGCCACCACTGGATGATTGCTGCGTGCCTTAGGCATTTCCTGGCTTGGTACAGCAGCCAGCACATTGATAGCACGCTAGGCTGCGGGTAGCAATGATGCTACTCACGCATGCACCATACAGCTCGTAGCGCATTATCAATCACCTCAAGACCAGCTTGTCCCTCCCTTCGTTCCATCCATTCCGCTGCTTGCTGCAGGAAACCGAGTTCCCCTCCAACTCTCTCTTGCTCCACGCAAGAGAGAGTACCCCTCTCACAACTGCCAGAGCGTATCAATCTCCCCTGAGGTAGTCCTGTTTGCAGCCACTTTCCCACCAGAGCCCGTCATGTGTAATTCTGATGACGAGGACGATGGGGGGGAGGACGACCATAGCGCTGAGCGTTTTGTTAGGGTCGCTGTCGCTCCCCTCAGAGGCCTCGATTTCCTTCGTCGTGCACATGCCGCTCCTGTGTACTCGAACCCCCTCCCATCTCTCAACAGTGAAGAGTGGGAGCGCAATCAGGACGAGGTGACTGAGCTGGTTGACTCGCCATCCAAGGCCCCGCCTGCCACTCGTCCCGGCACGACAACCCCAGCTGCCACTTGTCCCGCCACATCAACCCCTGCCGCTACTCATCCAGCCACGTCAGCCCTTGCTGCTACTCCTCCCGCCACGTCAACCCGTGCTGCTACTCCTCCCGCCACGTCAACTCGTGCTGCTACTCCTCCCGCCATGTCAACCCCTGCTGCTACTCCTCCCGCCACGACTACATCGGCCGCCGTGACGTCAAAGAAGAGGCGCCGCTATGAGCAATCACACCTGCCATTTGCACCGCCTCCTCCTAAGCCCCCTACTCCGCCACCGTCGGAGCGTGTCACTGCACCATCAGCGAAACCTACAGTTGCGGAGAAGAGGGCGAGGGCATACGAAAAGGTGCAACATTAGTACACCAATGATTGGCTCCCGGAATTCCCATGGCTGGTCCTTGATAAAAATGACGATGGAATCCCGTGCTTGCATTGCAGTGTTTGCATGGAGCATGGTGCAGTGCATGCAAGACACGGGCGTGAGGGCAGTGGCGGTCGGGATCTGCAAGTCGGCTCGATGCGCTGGCACCAAGAGAGTCAGAAGCATGAAGACGCGGTGAGGAAGCAACAACACCTGCTGACAGAAGTGGAGAACTAGAAGAGGATGGAAGACTTTGTTGCGAATGACCCCGGGGGAGCGCGCATCATTCGGCTACTCCGCGCCATGTTATTCATCTGCATGGAAGATGCGCCCATCAGCATGTTCACCCGCCTCATGGGCTTCATGGTGCATGAAGGGGTGAAGGACGTTCCTAAGCAGAGCTACGGTGTCTACATAACACAGTAAGTTTATTGATCCCCTTGTACTGCTTCTCTTTCAGGTTGTCCTATAACCTTTGGATTTTGTGATCATCCTCTTTAACCAACTACTAACACCAGTGTTTTGTGCATGCCTTTCTCACTCCCATTCAGGTACGGTTTCAAGGAGATGGTGAAAGCCATGGTGGCTTTCTTGCAGGCGCAACAGATGTCGCATATTCACGCATCTCCATTCATCGGCCTCAGTTGTGACGAAAGCACCGACAGGACGCGCGGGAAGCACTTGATCCTGTTTGCAATAATTCTGAAGAAGTGGAAAGTGGTCACCGAGTTCCTAGCTTTGCTGACCGTGGACAAGTGCGACGCTGCTTCTCTGCAGGCGATCATCCTCTCCCACCTCGAGACCCTTGGCGTCGATCTCCAGAAGATCTCTGGCATCAGTACGGATGGGGCTTCTGTGATGACAGACGAGCATCATGGCTTGGTGGCTCGCTTACGAGTGCGCATCCCGCACCTCGTGGGCGTCCATTGCATCGCCCATAGGTGCTGTTTGTTTGTGGCACCCATAGGTGCTTTTAATGGCTCATGCGTGCATAGCTACATGCCCCTTCCAGGTAAATCCTGTCAAGTTGCTGATATTCTCTGTTTTTTTGTTGTTGGCAGAGAGTCCCTGGCTGTCAAGGATGCTGCCGCGGCCTTCTCGGACTTCAAGATCATCGATGCCGTCATCCGCGCTTTGGGGGAGATTGTCGGCCGTTCCACCCCATGGTATGAGCGCTTCAAGCACCTGCAGATGGTCATCCGCAACACCAACCTGGAGCATCAAGGACTCTACCTTATCCGGTGGCTCTCACATGGCGATGCAATCAAGAGGCTCTGCAGCATTCTCGGAGCGGCGATCGTTGTCCTCATCGAGTACAACCACAAGCTGGCACCGGTTGTGAAGACGTTGAAATTTCACTACTGCCTGTACTTCCTTGCTGACGTCCTCGCCGAGATGAACACCCTCAACAGGTTCTTTCAGAGGCGCTCTGTAAGTGGTGGCTTTAACGAGACGTACTCTTGTTTGGCGTATCTCGTTGCACTGTTGCACGGTCTTGCTATGTGTTTAGCTTGGTAGTCATGAGAATGATTTCAATTCCTTGCATTTTGTACCTCCGCCTGCCCTATGCCCCTTCCGTCAGGTGGACATCACCCTTGTGTCCCAGGAGGTTGACCACACGGTCACCTACATCCAGCACCGTTACATCGAGTACGGTGCGACATTCGAAGCAGGGATGAGCAAGAGGCTGACCAAGTTCCTGCAGCGGCATGCCAACGGCAAGCGCAGCATCGTCGTCGATGGCATGGACAACGACGGAAGTCCCTGCACACACGCATTCGAACTCTCGGAGAAGAAGCTACCCGGCCACAAGTTCGGCGGCAGCATGTCGGACTGTGAGGACCTTTGCTCTGCGTTCGTCAAAGACATGGTGGCGAATGTGGAGCAGAGGCTGTGGGATCTGAAGCGGATGGGCGGCGCGGGACTGTTCAAAGTTGAGTGCTGGCCGAAGAAGGCAGAAGTGCGCGAGCGGCGACATCTCTCCTGGCTTGCATCCAACGTCGCCCCCTTCGACCACAAGCTGCCAGGTAAGTCAGTAGTTCCGTTAACACAACCGTATCATTCGTTGTTAAATGTCAGTTTGCCTTGCCCTAGGATGGATACTAAACCGTTGTCCTCTGCTTCTATTCCAAACCCCAATTCCAGGAGTGAACCAAAGGGCGGCCGAGCTGGAGCTCAAGTCCTTTGCTCACATCATGAAGAACCACCGGGCGGATGATGACTTCAACCAGGGGTTGGCTGCCATGCTCAAGACCCGCGACTGGCCTAAGAGCTACCCCAACCTAATGGCATTATGGCAGGCCATGGCTGTGCTTCCACTGAGCACAGTGGAGTGTGAAAGAGGATTCAGCAGACAGAACGTGATCAAGTCGTGGCTGCGGACGAGCTTGTGCGATGCAAGGCTGAGCGAACTCATGACGATCAACATGCTGGACTACGACATGGACTACGCCGAGATCGTTGACATTTGGAGGAAACAGAAGACGCAAAAGCAGGCTAAGACAGTGGCCTATGAGGCTCCCCTCGACAAAGGCAAGAGTGCAGCTGAGGATTCGGATGAGGAGATTGCAGCTAGTGAGGGTTCATATGAGGATGATGATGATGATGATGATGATGATGATGATGATGATGATGATGATGATGATGATGATGATGATGATGATGATGATGATGATGATGATGATGATGATGATGATGATGATGATGATGATGATGATGATGATGATGATGATGATGATGATTGATGAGATGCTGCTCTGTTACCGTGCCATGTGGATGTGAGACTTAATACTTTGTGCTGGGAAAATTCTATATCTCTTCCAAATTCTAGGCAGACAGGGTTTTTTTTCTGATAAGGCACAAAAACCCTGGCAAATCAGAGTTCCGGTCCAGGGCACCCTGGATTTCAGAGTTAGCCCATGAGCTACTCGTGAAAATCAGAGTTCAGAAAAGTCTAAGATAAGCCCTGGTAGTGCCGCCCTGGTTTGCTCTTGTCTTGTTTGTACTCTTGCTGACTGGTCTTTTGACCCCTACCTCAGAGGTTGGACTACCGTAATCCCCCGGATATAACATTCGCCGAAATTAAGCACCCCCTGGTGTTATATCCGAGGAGGATGTTCTATTGAAGAATCCGCAATTATACACCCTCTTTTTGAGGGTTCCAGGAGAGCACCCCCCCTTGCCATTTTAGCCCTTCTAAGCCTTGCAACTCCTGGAACAAATACCGATTTTTCATGCGATTTCATGGTGAGCACGACCATTACCCAAAAGTTCAATTTTACCGAGGCGCATGGCGGGATTCTCCGCTACTGAAAATGACGGGGTGAAACAAATAATTACCTGGAAAAGCGCAGTGATCGACAAATGTCGTTTCATTTGTGCGAGAGACTTGTTCTGACTGGTTGACGAGCCTCGCAATTTTCGCCTAGCCTATTGCGAGAGTTGCCAACCCCTCAATCTCACTTCTCCAACCTGACACACTCTTGATATTCAGGAGCAAGTGGGCGATCTGGGGGTATTATGAACCTCGAGAAAACGTACGCCTTTTCAGCTGGAACTTGGATGGTTGAAATCGCCATGAAACGCTGAGTCTAATGCACATCTAAAAAATTCTATCCTCAAATATAACACCAGGGTGCTATAGCCTAAACGCGAAATAAATTTTATAGCCTAAACACCTGGTGTCGATTCCCCCGGCACCACCTGCACCACCTGCTCCTCCCACTCCACCTGCGCCACCTGCACCTTCTGCACCTCCGGCACCTCCCGCGCCTCCCGCTCCCTCGTCGCCGAATCCCAGGCGTCCGCCTGAATGGGACAACTCATGGCAAGACGATGAGGACGATTTGTACTGGGAGGAGGCTACCGACGGAGAGCCTGAGCCTCCGTCGACACTTCCTCGAGTTGCTATTCCGTCTTTCCCTCAGCCTAGGCGTCGTCCCAACATGCCTCGCGTTAACCGTGATGCCGCACCTCCCTCCCCCAGAAATCGCAGGACGAGGCGCAAAAGAGTCTCACGTACGGCGGCCGAGAAGCTCTTCTGGTTGTGCAAGCTTGACGATGACCCTAATCTATCCAACCGCAAGCTCGCAAGGATGGCGGAGGTCCAGCCCTGTCAGATTCGCGAGTGGAAGAAGAACAAGGTGAAACTGGCGGCGGCTGCTGGCTGCAGGCGTCGTCTCGTCGGCTCAGGGCGCAAGGCGAAGTTCCCCAACATGGAGCGCGAGCTGTACAAGCGCTTCCTCTCCCATCGCGCGCGTGGCCTGGCAGTCTCCATCAACTGCCTGCAGAAGTGGAGTCGGAAGTACATGAAGAAGCGGCACCCTGGAGTGGACTGGCGAGCATCGTCGTGATGGACCTTCCGCTTCCGCACGCGCTGGGGTTTGACGAGGCGTGTGAAGACTAAGATGGGACAACGCCTGACATCCGGTTAGTTTCATTTGCTCCGAGTCTTTCCACGCCGTTTTCCTTGCATAATTGACTCGTACTCTTGCGTGTTGTTCCCTGTCTGCCTATTTTTTGTTCTTGATTTTCTTGTGCTTGCAGATTGCGAGGCAAAAGTGGAGAAATTTTGGGAGTTTGTGCGTCAGATGCGGAAATTGAACTGCTACCCCGACGACTTGATAATCAACGCCGACCAAACACCTCTATTTCTGGAGATGCCGCAGGAGACAACGCTAGAGGTCCGCGGCTCAAGGACGGTGCATGTGCGCACCGCCGGCTACAAGAAGGAACGGCTGACCGTCATGCTGGCGGTCACTGCTGCTGGACAGAAGCTGAAGCCGTATGTCATATTCAAGCAGAAGACCGTGCCCAATATCCGAGTCCCCCCTGGTGAGTTCAAATCTTGTTGTTTGATTCACTCTGTTTATCGTAATCCCCGTCCCATCCGTTTTGTTTTCCTCTTTTTATTGACCCCGCCTGATATGCTTGTGTCTTTTTGTGTCCAGGCATCGTCATCCGTGCGCAGCCGAAAGGATGGATGGACGAGGAGCACGTGAAGGACTGGATCACAGCAGTGCTCGTCCCGTTCCTTAAGCGAATCCCTGCAAGGCGTGGCGGTCGGGCGAAAGCCCTCGTCGTCCTCGACAGCTACAAAGGGCACCTGACCGAGGGCGTGTCAGCGGCGATGCGCCTCTTCAAGCTCTCCAGGGCCGTGATTCCTGGCGGCTGCACGCCGATCGTCCAGCCACTCGACGTGGCTATCAACCGTTGTGTGAAGGCGCATGTGAGGTGGTCCTACTCAGGTTGGTTTGAAGAGTATGGCTGCGATTCGACAACACCCGCAGGTGAGGTCGCTGCCGCTCTGTGCCTGCGTTCCACGCTGTTTTCATTACGTGTGCTCCGTCGTATTCGTGACCATTCAGACGCTTGATGTACTTCAATTCTTAATGTTGTATCAGTTACATTGTAGCAAAAAGGTGGGGGGTGTTATGTAAAATTCAAGGTAAAAAAAGTGGGTGCTCTCCTAAATGCACCCTATCATAAGCTCTACCCCGCTTAAACCACCCACGGAGTGACTATTCCGGCGGGTGTTATATACGGGGGAATACGGTAACAGAAATCTGTGGTACAAAAACTTGCTGCTACAAAAACATGGTACTGTGCTGTATAGTGTCACTTCCACAGCCTCCTTTCATGTGTTTTACCGGTACGTTGTAAGAGCTCATGCGACAGCACTGAGTCAAGGAGTGCATTCCCACCACGCCGCCACATCTTCTCACACCAGTCAGAAACCTCCACCTGGCAATAGCAAGCACAGATGAGTACCATTCCAAATGTCAGCTTCGCCGTGCCTTTCCAGCTGACCTGCTGCATCTCGCCACCGGAACAATGTACAGAAACATTCCAGGTGCCAAAGCACAAGAAAAGAATGACGAGAGGGGTATTTACCTCGAGAAATGGCTTGTTTGACAGGAAGTGCGCGTCCACAGTGTATTCCCTATCCCCCAAGTCCACCACCAGAGCGAGCAGCAAAGAGGAGTCCACACATGCAGATGGTTCCGGGCCGGCTGCTGCTGCTACTCCTGCTTCTCCCCCGTAGACCCCCACCCCTGCACCTGCGGCGGGTGGCTTGTTACCCATGCTTGCAATAGCTGTAGTGGAAGAAAGGGTGGGAGGGGCAGAGGAGGCAACGGCATGGAGAAATGAGATGGGGAGCCGAGGAACGCCAACAGTTAAAGCATCCCCAACAGTTAAAGCATTTCAAGGACAACCAAAGTGGAAATCACACGTTTCGACACCGTTTGCACCCACGTGCCATACACTCTTCATGCACTCCTTGACCACAGGGTATCCCTACGACTTCAAGTTACAAAATCTTATTCCCACATATATGGGCCCTCTAAGGGCATGTATGGTGAACAGTTTTTTAACAGGGGCCTACAATCGACTATTTTTAAGCCCCCATGCCCTGTAAGAAGGTTTGGTGTAACGGTCTTCAAACACATCTTCACTGTAGCATTGAAGTCCATCGCATCATTTGATGCTCGGACTAAAGGCGGTTTTCAAAACTACAGAGGGTAGGGCCCTAAAATCGAATTATGGCTATATGCCACAACATGCATCTCACAACATGCATCTCACAACACGCGTCTCACAAAACGCATCTCACAACATGCATCTCACAACATGCATCTCACAGCATGCATCCCACAGCATGCATCGCACAACATGCATCTCACAACATGCATCTCACAGCATGCATCTCACAGCATGCATCTCACAGCATGCATCTCACAGCATGCATCTCACAGCATGCATATCACAACATGCACCTCACAACATGCATCTCGCAACGTGCATCTCACACCGTGCATCTCACACCGTGCATCTCACAACATGCATCTCACACCGTGCATCTCATAACATACATCTCACACCGTGCATCTCATAACATGCATCTCACAACGTGCATCTCATCTCACCCACGGTGTTCTTCACCCAGCACCCACCTGTGATTCGCCCCATGCAGTACCCCGTGCCGCCCATGTCCTCGCCCTTCCTTCCCAGCCTCAGTCGCAGGAAGCACCCCTTTGCCTTCGCTGATAGCTCCCCCTGCCCCTGCCACCTGGTATGAATGGTTCTGAGACAAATAGGGGAAGCATGGTACGCAGGGCATGAGGGGATCGAATGTGACTCAGCACCCCTCTGCGTGCGATGCTAGCCCCCCCCCTGCCCCTGCCCCTGCCACCTACCCCTAGGAGCTGGTAAGCAGAAGGGTATGAGGGGCATGTGGGGGCCGTGTGAGGTGTGTGTGAGGAAGGGCCACATCAGGACACGTGCAATCCCTTACGCACACAACACGCATGTACCACAAAAGCGCATACAGCAAGGGCACGCACGTAACGAAATCGAGCGCCCACCCACCCACCCACCCACTCACCCACCCACTCACCCACCCACCCACCCACACCCCTCTCCCCCACCCAACCCACAACATCTCCCCACCAACCTCACGCACCTGTGCAAGTCCCTCCTTGCCAGCCGAGCTCCCTCCACCGCATCCAGCAGAGCAGCAGGCAGCCTCGCTTTGTCTCCACCCGTCTTTATGCCCTCTCCTCCTCCTCCTCCCTGCTGCCTGCCTGCTAGCAGACGTGCCCAGTCATACACTGGAGCTGCTGCCGAACCTGGCACTGGTGCCGGAGCTGGTGCCGAACCTGATGCCAAAGCAAGAGGGCCGCAGGAATGGGGAGCTTCCTCTGGTTGCGTGGCTGCAGCCACACTGGCATGGGCATGGGCATGGTTGTCTGTACAGCCCTCAGTGTTAGCCGGAGAAGTATGAGGGGGAGGAGGGGTGAGAGGAGAGAAATTAGGAGGTGCGAAGTTAGCTGCCTCTGGTGGTAGATGGTTCACACGTGTGGTCCAACCATCAATGGCACGTGCCACTACTTCTGCTACTTCTGCGGCTGCTGCTGCTTCTGCCGCGGTTGCTGTGGTGCCAGCTGCTGCTGCTGCTGTCATATGCTTGAGGTCTGCAGCGGCAGCAGCAGAGCCATCCACAGCAGGAGCATCAGGAGAAGCAGCAGCAGCGGTGACATCAATGGGCTGAGAGGAAGCCAAAGCAGGCAGCAGAGCTGGAAGGACAGCAAGGATAGGAACAGCAGAAGTCTTTTCGGGCAGAGTGGGAGTCAGAGCAGGAAACGGGGCAGCTGGAGTCATTCCAAGGCTTTCAGGCAGATGAGAAGGGAGCGCAGGGAGAGTGGGAGGGGCAGCCACTGTCTCACGCATAATGGGAGATTTTTTAGAATTCTCAAAGCTCTTGGCGCAGCACAAGCTCCTCTCATCCATCAGCACTGCGCAGTCTGCCGCCCAGTGGCCGCCCACCCCACACCACAGACATAAGCACGGCGCTTCTCCTCTCTGTTCCCACGAGCCGTCCATCACTCGAGGCCCATTCTCTCGTTTCACATCCCCTTGCCTCGTCTCTACAATCCCCTCCGCTCCCCCCAACCCCCCAGTCTCTGCACCCATGCTCTCTTCCTCTCCCCCACCATCCTCCTCACTCACTTTACCCTTCTCTCTGCATCTCCTATGCACTCCTCCCTCCTCCCCTCCTCTCTCCTCGTCCCCTCCTCCTCCCTCCATCCCTCTCTCCTCCTGCCCTTCTCCACCCTCCGTCCCTCCTCCTCCCGCCACCCCTCCTCCCCTCTCAATCCAATCCCCCAGCCGAGTCACCAGCAGAGACAACTCCTCCTCGTCTCGAGTCTCAGAGCAACTCAGCACCGTGTGGCCGCACACCCCACAGAACATGCACTGCGGCCCCTCCAGGGACATCTTGCCCCCATCTTCTCTGTGCTTCCCCACTCTTTCCACTCCTTCCACTCCTTCTCCTCCAACCACCTGCACCCCTCCCTTCCCCCGTTCGCTAATCTCCTCAATCCCCTCCCTCTTTCCCTTATCTTCCCCTTCCTTCTCCTGCCCCTCCTCTGCCCTACACTCCTCTCTCCCATCATCCTCCTTCTCTTTCCCCTCCTCCCTCTCCTTCCCCCCCTCCTCCTCCTCGTCCTCCCCTTCTACCCAAAACCGCTCATTCCATCCAGCCAAGCCCAGATCACGCTCCTGCTGGCCAACGAGCTCGTGCCACGTGGCAGCATCGTGGAGCCACGATCTGAGGGCTGCCACGTTGGCAGAGTGCTGGGACCAGCTGAGCGATACAGGCCTAGGAGGGGGAACAGGGAAAGGAGGAGGTGGGGAGGGAGGTCTTGGAGAGGGGAGAGGAGGTGCGGAGGGGGGCGTAGGAGAGGGGACAGGAGGAGGAGGAGGGGAGGGAGGCCTTAGATAGGGGGCCGGGGGAGGTGGGGAGGGGGGCCTATTGAGGGGGGCAGGTAGTTGAGGTGGCTCAGCAAAAGGGGGGGTATTCGGGGAAACCGGAGGAGGTGCAGAGGGAAGGAGCGCCAGCTGTAGCTTTGGGCGCGGAGGACCAAGAGGAGCACAAGCAACAGGAAAGCAACCAGCAGGAGCATCGGTAGGAGCAAAATTTGCAGTAGCAAGAGCAGCAGCGGTACTCATAGGGTGGGCATTGGAAAGATGTGCAACTGCAACAGGAGCAGCCGTATCGTCAAGGGCAGCTCCCGCAGCCGCAGTGCCACCATGAGCAGCAACGGCTGCAGCAGCTACATCGGCACCATCAGCAGCAGCACCAAAATCAGCAGCAGCACCAAAATCATAAGCACCATCCAGCATATCCACATCGTCAACAGATCCCCCTTCAATGGAGTGCGAGTCCCTTGCCCCCTCCTGCTCCTCGTCCAACACTGCCCTCCTCGCCACTGCCCTTGCGATCAAACACGCCCTCTCCACTAAACCACCCTGCTCCCCCTCTCCCTCCCCATACTGCCCCGTACCGTAACCACCAGCACCAGCGAGACCAAGACCACCAGCATCGCCACCCACATCAGCATCAACGCCAGTCGCAGTACCACCACCAGCAGCCAAACCAGCAGCAGTACCAGCAGCAGCAGCAGCAGCATCACCCCTAGGCCATCCACTTCTCACCTCACCCTCACCCTCATTCTCACCCTCACCACCACCACCATCAGCAGCACCAGCACCGCCTCTCCTCTGCCGTTTGACCGCCCTCTTCCTGCCCCACGCCCCACCTGGCGATTCCCGCTTGCCTGGCGCCTCTCGCTTGCCCCCACACCTACTGGCAGCACACCTACTAGCAGCAAACATGGAGTCGGACGCTGCTGGTGCACGGACGAACGACCCTGCGGCCTCCACCACCCTTCTCTTGTGCAATCCCCCCTGGGGAAGCCTCCCTCTCGCTCCTGCAAGCCTCCCTGCCATGAACGGGCCGAATCGAGGCACACCAGCTACGTATCTCGCTGCTTCTGCACCCAATTTCTGCTGCTGCGGCCTCTCCTCCTGCTCCTGCTGCTGCTCTCGCTGCTGTTGCTGCTGCTGCTGACCCATCTCGTCTCCTGGTCCCGAAATGCCCCCTCCTACGTCCGTTGCCACCCCAACCTGGTGCATTTGTGCCACCATATCCCGGCCCCTCGCCAAATCTGCCAAATCTGCCTGCGGTGGTGCTGCTAGTAGCCCCTGCTCCCCTCGCCTCCCTTCTCTACCTTCTTCCCCCTGTCCCCTATCGCCCCCAGCTTTGCCTCGCGCCAATCGAGGCCCAATCAACCGCGCTATCCAGTTCCGTGCTGCCCCACTTTCCTTCCCCCCACTTCCCCCACTTCCCCTCCCCCCACCTACGCCGCTTCTCACCCCTCTTATCCCTTCCTCAGCCGCCCCCTCCCCTGCCGCTGCTCCCCCCTTTATGTCTCCCCCTGCCCCTGCCCCTGCCCCCGCCCCTCCATGCGCGAGCATCCCTGTGCCCAAGTCAAGCCTGGTGCCTCCACTGCTCTCCTTCAGTCCCCTCGCACTCCCTCCACTCCCCATCCGGAGCCAGCTGCCAGATCCCACCGCTGCAGCAGATGGTGCTGCTGCAGGCTCTATCTGCTGGTCGTCTGTGCCCTGCTCTGTTACCACGCCCAAACCGCTGCCGTTCAAGCCGCTGCCGCCCAAACCACTGCCGCCCACGCCACTGCCGCCCAAACCACTGCTGCTGCCTAAAACGCCTGAAGCCCCACCACGAATTCCACCTGACGGCCCAGCTGCAGTTCCAACTGAAGCGACACCTGCAACTCCACCTGAAGCACCACCTGCGATTCCACCTGAAGCAGCACCTGCGATTCCACCTGAAGCACCACCTGCGATTCCACCTGAAGCGCCGCCTGCGATTCCGAAAAACCCTAAATCAGGGACAGGGCAGCTGTTGCTCCCCACGCCACCGCTGCCACTGTTGGCATGCCTCCCTCTCTGACCTCCCACCCCCACTCCCCTTCCCATGCCCCATCCCCCTCCCATGCCCCCTGCCCTTTCCACACCCCCTTCCCCACCCAAGACCCCCGGCCCTTCCATGCCTCCTCCCCTCCCCATAGCCATACCCCCTTGCTCCCTCGCAATGCCCGCCGCCCCTTGCCCCCTTACACCCCGCCTCATGGGGGAAAACTGCAGCGGACTCTGCCCCAGCCTTGTCCCTCCCCCTTCTCCCCGTCCCCCCCACCTCCTCGGCCTCCTATCAACAGCCCCTGGTGCCCTCCTCCTCCCCCACCCCCACCCTGTGCCAGTTGCCGTCTCCTCCTGTTCCTCCTTCTTCTTCTCAGCTCTGTGCTTCCCCTGCTGCCTCCTCCCGAGCTCCCGCCATCCCGCCCCTGCAGCAGCCGCAGCACAAACACATCCCTCTCCCTCCACCTGCCGCCCCTAACGCCCCGCCTCCACTCCCTCTCCTCCCTATCCCTCCCTCTCTCCTCCCTATCCCCTCCCCCCTCCCTCTCACGTCCCCTCCTGTCCCCTCCCCCCGCCAGCCCACCACCTCTGTTCGCTTCCTCCTCTCCCGTTGCAAACCCGCTGCTCCCCCCCTCCCCCTCATCCCCTGTGAAGCTCCCCTGGGAGGTCCACCCCTCTCCCTCCCCTAGACTCTCCCTCAGGTGCCTCAGCAGCGGGCCAGTAGGCACCTCCCCCTCTCCTTCCCTGGCTGCTCTCCCTCCCACTCCTCCCACTGCTCCCACTCCCCTCCCTCCTCCCGCCTGCACCTGCTGCCAGAACCCTGGCATTCTGAACCCTAGCTCCCTGCCAAACCCCGGCGTTCCAAGTCCCTGAGCCCCACCCCCCTGATCCCCCCCCTGCGCCTGCGCCTGCTCTCCTCCCTGCCGCCCCAGCATCCCCCATTGACCCTGCTGCCATTGCCCCTGCTGCCACTGCCGCCGTTGCTGTGCACCTGTCAGGGCCAGGGGCCCTGGAACAGAGAGCTGGTCCTCTGACTCTGCTGCTGCCGCTGCCACGCCCAGAGCGTGCTCGTCTGACCCCCCACTGCCCCCGTGACTGGCGTTCCCAGCCGGCACCTCTATGGGCTCTGGCCTGGGCCTAGGGCGACGTGCAGCATTTGTAGCAGCAGCAGCAGCCGCAGCAACAGCAGGTGCCGGGGAGACAGGAGTAGCTGCAGCAGTTGCAGTGGTAACAAGTGCGGCTGCCACTGCCAGTGCTTGGTCGTCTGACCCCCCATTACCTCCACCACTGCTGTTGCCTGCTGGCACCTGTGTCGGCTCTGGTCTGGGTCTTGGGTGACGTGCAGCAGCAGTAGGAGCAGTAGCAGTAGGAGCAGGAGCAGGAGGAGGAGGAGCAGCAGCAGCAGCAGCAGTAACTGGTCCGGCGGCAGGAGGTGTGGCAGGAACAGCTAAGGTGGCAGCAACAGGTGCGGGAGCAAGCGGTGCAGAGGCAACAGAAGCGGTGCCAGCTGCTGCTGCTGGTGCTGCAGAATCAGGACTAGATGGGCCAGCAGGCATAGCACGAGAGGCAGCGGCCACTGCAGGAGCAGCAGGTGCAGCAGGTGCAACGGGTGCTATGGCCTGGTTAGGCTTATTGGATTCATTGGCGTCCGTCAAAGAAGGGAGAAACACAGGCAGTGCTGCAAAATGGGCACCCGCTAGGCACCCAGCAGCAGCAGCAGCATCACTGGCAGCAGCAATAGGGCATTCAGCACCAAAACCACCACCAGCTGCAGCCTCAACGTTTGGCGCTGCTTGCGTTGCTGCCTGCAGCGTTGCCACAGCAGCTTGTGCACCCGCAGCAGCCTCACCCCGGGCATCAGGATCAGCGGCGAAGGCACCAGTCTGTACCTGCTCTTGCAGCATCTCACCACAGCACTGACCCATCTCACCAAGTCTTGCGGCCATCGCAGGCAGAGCAACCCTACCCTCTGAGCCCTTGTCTTGACTCGTTCTCTTTGCCTCTTCCATCCTGGCTTCTGCAAGTTTGAGCCGCTTTACACCTGCCTCAGCGAAGGAGCCTGCTGTAGCACCAGCAGCAGCATGCTTGGGCGTTTCAAGTCCCTTGTGGATAGATGGCTGGCTCACTGCTCTTGGCTGACTGATTGCCCTGGGCTGGCTCACTGCCCTGGGCTGACTGGCTGCCCTGGGCTGGCTCACAGCCCTGACCCAGCCACCAAACGACCCGCCAAGAGCCTTCCTCTGGTGAGGCGCCAAGTCTGCTTGTGAGCCCACTGGTCTGCACACAGCATGGTCAGGATCAGGTCTGTGTGGGGGCCGGTCAGCTGGGGAAGGGTCGCCAGCAGGACGACGCATGTCAAATTTCATAGTGGCAGCAGTGGGGAGGGTAGCCACAGGCGAGGCCGGGGTAGGAGTGACCAGCGCATCAGCAGCAGCGGGGCTCTTAAATTGCGCAGCAGCCACACTCCCACCACCAGCCCCTGCAGCTGCAGCACTTGCACCTACAGGTACAGCTGCAGGTACAGACACCACAGGGGACGCGGCAGCAGCAGGAGCAGCACTAGCACCAGCACCAGGGACTGACGCTGCTCTTGCTGCTGCTGGCGACACTGCTTTGCCTGCGCTTGCCTGAGGAGAGGCACGCACGCGAGGAGCAGAGGCATGCAAGACAGGAGCAGATGCGTCGGACCACGGGAGAGACGCACCACGCGCCATCTCAAGCACAAACGCGTCCCACTCGCCTCCTGTCTCCTCCCCACTCCCACCCTTCCCCCTTTTCCCACTTGCACCCTCCTCCTTTCCTCCCGTTCTGCTTCCACTCTCCTCCCGCTTCCCACTCCCGCTCGTCTCCCTGGATCCACCCAACGGGTCCCTACTCCCCCGCTTCTCCCTCTCCTCGCTCCCACCCTTCTTTCCCCCACCCCCACCCATACCTGGCGAGGTACGAACCAAGTCCCGATCACGGGGAGACGGGTGGGCATGCAGGGAGGAGGACGAGAAGAAGTCTCTCGACCCAGCCCTCTCGCAACCACCACCAGATCCAGTCCCTCCACCAATCCTCGTTCCACCAGCATCGGTCCCTACCGCACTGGACCACCTTCCACCCGCAGGACCAACCCCTCCCCCTGCTAACCCTAATTCCTCGCCCTCGGTTTCCACTCCGAATTCCTCCCACCCGCACGACACAGGCACCTGTAACCGGCCCATTCTGGCCGGCCTCTTGCTAGAGGGTTCCCTTGCCGACTCCAGCTCTCTAGAGGGTTCCCTTGGCGACGCTAACGCTCTGCCTGTACCGTCTGTTCCGTCTCCCTGGAAACTCCCCCCCTCAGCCTTTCTCTTTGCAGCACCCTCCTTGCTTCTGATCCTACCAGCCTCCCTCCTTCCCCCAAGCTCTCCGCGTTCCCCAAGTTCCCCGCTTCCGCGCTCTGTACTTCCATCTGCTTGCGCTCGCCCCCCTTCCCCTCCCCAAACGTTCCCCCACACGCCCGCGCGCCCATGCCCATCCCCTTCCGCCTGCGCCCTTCCGCCCATGCGACCATCCCCCCTACCGCCCTCAACCGCATACGACAGACCGTAATCCCCCATACCTCTCCCGCTCCTCGCAACCCCGCCAAAGTTCCCCCTGCCACCGCTGCTCGCACTCCCCCGCAGATTCCCCCTGCTGCTGAAGCTCCCACTGCCCCCCGCCCCGCCTGCCCCGCCTGCCCCCCCTGTTCTGCGCGCCTCTGCGCCCTCCACTCTCTGCGCCCCCTTATCCGCGGAACAGCAACCATCTCGCCCCGCAAGGTCTCCTCTTCCCGCGGACCCCCCTCTTCCAAGTGACCCTGAACGTCCTCCCGAGCCTCCCAGTCCCGCTGACCCTCCCAGACCCGCCGAACCTCCCAGTCCCGCCGAACCTCCCAGGCCCGCCGAACCTCCCAAACCCGCCGAACCTCGTTGGCCAAGAGATCCTGACCTTGACCCTGACTGCGGAGTCTTGAACTCGCTCCCTTTTAACCGCACATCCGCGTCCGCACCTCTCCCCGCGCTCCGCTCTGCAATCGCCGACGCACTCGGGCTGCCTACCGCTCTGGTAGCAACCGGCACACTGGGGCTCTTCAAGACTTGTTGAGGCGCGTCGTTTGATACCCTAACCGCCTGGCTGGAACTCCTTACCAACCTTTGAGGCGGATGAACTAACGCCGCGTTACCCCTACCAACTGACTGGCTCCGCCTTACTACGCCATCCTCTCGTACCGTTTCCCGGACTGAGCACTTGAGCGACCGCGTCGTTTCCAATCCCTCCCGCTCCTCCCCGCTCCTCCTTTCCCCGATTCTCGCGCCTTCCCAACTCTCCCGTCGTAGCAACCTAAAGTTCGGCCCTTGCTCCTGACTGGGAGCGGCAACAGCGGCGCAAGCGGAAGCAGAAGCCAAAGCGGCAGCGGAAGCGGAAGCGGAAACGGCGGCAGAAGCGGAGGCGGTCGCAGACCCAGTAAAAAGCGCCGGGCCTTGCCACAGGTCGTAGCGCTCTCCGCCGCCTCTCCGCCCACTCCGCCGCCGTTGCACGTTCCGCGCGCCCTCATCCGTCGCCACTCCGCTTCCGCGCGCCGACGAAGGCGACAGAAGCTGCGGTTGCGCTGGAACGGCGGGGAATCCGGGCGTTCCGCCAACTCCCCCAGCGATTTCCGCCATTCGTGCCATCAGCGCCATCGCCGCCCATTCCTCCCAGCCCGGCGGGATTCCCCCTTGCGCCTCGGGGGTGGTCAGCGCGTCAGGGGCTTCCGCAGACTCCGCGCCCGTGGTAGCTGCGGGGGGGGCTGAAAGAGGGAAGAGCGGAAGCAGCCGGCAGGTCGCACGGGGAACCACGTTGCTTCCGCCGCTGGCGCCCAGGCTGCTCGAGTCCACTCCTATCCGCTGCCCTTGCGGGGCGCCGCTGCTACCCCTCAAGCGACTTGCGCTACCATCCCGCCCGCGATTCCCGCTCTGCTCGACGAGAGGCATCCACGCGTTAAGATACTGGTACGGGGGTTCCCGGTTCGATTCACCCGCCAGAAAAGCGGTGTTTCCCGAAGCCGTATGCGGCATAACGGCGTGCGCTGCGGCGAGGCGTTGCGGCTGAACTCCCGTGATAGGGCCGAAAGGAGGCGGATTATTCCAAGGCATAGCGGCGGGTTCACCCATTGGCCAGGAAGGCGCCGCGTCAGAAGACGCCACGTCAGCTGCTGCTGTGGTCCCCCCTCTAGCGGTTTGAGAACCGGCGGCATCGGACGACCCTAGTCTATTTCCCGCAGGTGGAAACTGCGAACCTGAGGATTGCCCTGACAAAAGCCCTGGGGGCGGTCCTTTTGGGGACGGTACCGAAAACGGTACTTGAGAAGAAGGACCTGACCCCAGCCTAATCCCCGAAGGTTGACACTGCGAGCCCGGAGTCCCGCGCCCTGAGAACGGCCCTACTACGGACGGTCTTCGCAGAGACGGTGCTGAAAACGGTGCTGGTTCGCGGGAGCAAGGGGCTGAGAACGGTTCTAGGGACGCCGCTTCTTGAGTGTGAGAGGGCGGGGAGACCAGAGACCGGACTAACGGCTGCGCTAATAGGTCGAACGTGGGGTTCGGGTTCTGTGCCTCGGGGAAAGCTCTCTTCGAAGCGTCGTCGTGCGGTGCGGTCCCCTCTGTGGACCGTTCGGGGGCAGCGGGAGCAGAGTGCACCGCGGCCGTCGGTTCGGCGTGCGGAGGGTGGAGATGTGGCGGAGTGAGCGGTTTAGGCGAATCGCGTCGGCTACTCCAGCCGGTCTCGGAATTCCAGGTCCAATGAGAACTCTCCATTGCTGAGGGCAACGCTCGGATGCCTCAACTCGACCGAATCTCTAAGCCGCGGATGGCTCGGCTTGACGTGCTTATTCGGAGAATCGGAGCAATGGAAACGGACTCAATCCGCTTTCCAGAAACACACCGCTTTCGCGGGCTACGATTGCTCTCAGCACTCGGAGCCACTCAGAAACTGTTACGGCCGTGAGACGGCGACGCTCTTTCTTGGTACCTCCTTTGCCAGTACTGGAAAACCGTGTCGCTTATCGCCGCTCCTCCGTCAAGGCTGCACTCGTGCAATAACCTATGAACGGCACAGGTCTGTGTGTTGGGAGTACTGTAGAATCCTCGCCTACTAGGCCGAGACAGTTACCAAACAGCAATCTTATCATTCGAACACAGCTCGTACACAGCTCGCTCATATGTACACAGCAACAGAAGTATTGGACCAGAGAAGGGGAGGGCGCGTGTGATGCTGGCAATGAGTGAGCGCAGGACGAAAATACGGGCTCACACAACAGTTGTTAATCGCTAGTGCTGTACCGCGCGGTGCTGTGTCCTACGGTCTGTAGGCCGTAGGGATCATAAACGGACAAAAGCCCCTCAGCTTCCTTCCAACACTCCATTCATAAATCTGCTTCTTGATGGCGGGTCAGGGATCAGGATGCATGTCTTCATTAAGAATGATAGTTCGCCGCTTTTGACGCCCAAATACGGTTGTTCCCCTGCCTTCTCTCGCACAGCAACCCCTAAAAGTGTCTAATTTGGATTCGTCACGTGGCTCGCTCATCCTGGCAACAACTCCAATGCCAGACGAACCGCGAACCAGCGACTGGGGTGCGGCTGTCGCGTCGCCTTCGCCTGGCCGGGGGGAACCTCGAGGGGAACCATGGCTGAGGGTGTGTGTGTGAAGTGAACTGGAGTGAAAGGTGCTGATCAAACGAGGAAGTGGGGGGGAGTTCCTTTGGAGTGAATCTATTCCACCAGCACGGAGTGAGTAGTAGCCATCACACCACACAAACACACTCTCACCAACAGGCGTGAATCCTTCACGCGCATTTGATTTTGCTGTCCCCATTGCCGAATCTCCCCCTGGAGAAGTCCCACACCATGTCATGAGAGCATCGCCCATAAAACCCAATCCCAATGCTGCCCGAATTGCTGAACAGCCAGTCACGCGTAGCGAGCGCATGTGATCGTCCATGTGAATCTCACGTGATGCAGTTGTAATCTCGAATGGGTCGTTGACACCTCGAACTGAGTGACATGTGAAGAAGCTGCTAGAATGTGCGTGGAGCCAATGATGGCTTGGAAAAGAGGATTTTCCATAACCCAGTTCGGTGCCAGCCATCATTAGGGCCAATGGCTGAGAAGTTCCATCAATACAGATCCAGCACCACTGTAACACTATTCGTATGAAAGAAATAGTGGGTTAAATTACACTAAATGCATACTATCACCAAACGTCAAGCTTTTCAATGGCATAACATGACACACATAAAAAGTTGAATAAAATAAGGACAATTGTTTAAATATACTCAATATGTTGTATATTGTTAAATTATATTAATATAATAATTGTAGGCTTGGTAGGTGTTATTGGAACCTACTGTAGAGAGTACAAATCCCTCCTTGTATCCCTCTCTCTTCTTATCTCACCCTCTTCTCTCTCGACACTTTCTCCTAGCACCTAAACCCTCTCGCCATAGCCATGGCTCCTCTCCTTTCCTAGCTTGTCTTAACATGGTTTCAGACCAGGTCCTTCTGCTCAGGCCTGCTCATCACGCTTCCGCAACTTTTGCCCCTCCCTCCTACCATTTCCGCGCCGCCGTGGCAGCCATGTCGTGCTGCCATGGCGGCTTCGTGGTGCTGCCGTGGTAGCTTCGACACGCTGCCGTGGCGTCGACGCCACGCCGTGGCGGCGTCGTCGTGCTGCTGTGGCAGCGACGCCGCGCCGTGGCGTCGTCGTCGAGCTGCCGTGGCGTCGTCGACGGGCAGCAGCTGGCCGCGCGATGTTTTAACGCTAGTCAGCTCGCCCGCACGCCAGCCAGTGCCGCGCCGCCATGGTACCTCGCTGCAGCTTCGCCCCCCCTCATCTGCATTTCCCTTTCTCCCCGCCGCAGCCGATGGATATCTCGCCCCGTGCGGCCCCATCGTTGCTGAGCCGGGCCACGTCGACGGGTGCCGCGGTCTCCGTCGCCGCCGTCGATGCCGCAGGTGCTGTTGGCTCCGCCGCCACCTACCGTCGCAACCACCGATGTCGTCGTACCGTCGTCGACGCCGCCGCCGCCGCTGCCCCCGCTGCTGACGTCGCCGCCTCGCACGTCGTGAGGTCAACCGCTGCTGACGAAGTCACTACTGCTACAGGGCATGGGGGTGCAAGGGATTTGGGGGTGCTGCGTGTGTGGTGTGCTTTCAGCTACCAAACCTAGGGGGTGTGTTAAATTATGTACTATATATACTGTATAAAATTGTAGGCTTGGTAGGTATTATTGGAACCTACTGTAGAGGGCACAACTCCCTCCTTGTATCCCTCTCTCTTCTAATCTCACCCTCTTCTCTCTCGACACTTTCTCTTAGCACCTAAACCCTCTTGCCATAGCCATGGCTCCTCTCCTTTTCTAGCTTGTCTTAACATATATATATTATACGTAGCATGTGCTAAGTATGTGAAAATTGATTTCCCAATGTTTTAGCTCATTATCGTAAGGCCTATCTCCTGATAACTATTCTTAGCCTTTGTTCTTCCTATTCGATTTGAAGACTTTTGGCTAGCTAAAAAGGGCAAATTTGACTAAATCCCTGCACTACTTGTCCTTAACAAACTTTTTACTCACTTTCTTTAAAGCGGGCGGACAGACCGGACTCAACGCTCAAACCCTTTGAGTCTTGGGTTTGGTTAGCGAAAATGACGAGCGGCCCATCTAGCCCCACGAAAGGCGTCTGCCCCACGCGAAACGATCTGGCCCCTCGCGATGGGAAAACAGACCTCGTCAAAACCTGCGAGGTCGCAGGGCAGATTCCTGACAACAGCACCACTCTGCCCCAACCACGACTGCGTTCGCATGACAGCCGCTATTGTACTACAAAGCGACACATACAAAACAAGCATGACTGCTACAGCAACGATAGCCTTCTCAGAGTAATGAACTGTCTAGAAATGGAAGGTACAGGGTGTGTTTATACTAGTGTATTGTACCCTCTAAGAGCATGCACCTATCTAGCCAATAATAACATATACATATATGTCTCACACACCCCTTAGGCGAGATGAGGGGCATTGCCTGGCAAGAGACACGCAGCTCATGGTGGCACTACTAGTCCAACCTCTGAGGCAAGGGTCCAAAGACCAGTCAGCAAGAGTACAAACTAAACAAGAGTAACCCAGGGCGGCACTACTAGTCTAGCCACTAGAACAAGAGCCACAAGACCAATCAAGATAATATAAGAAGAAGTACACAATCAGGGTCCTAGCAAGTGAGAAGCTACAGGAACAAGACCAAGCTGTACACAGTGCCGCTGATGATCTTTAGGCACAAGCGCCTTAGTACATATATCAGCTGTATTGGCACCGGAGGCCAAGTGTACTATGCAGGCCTGGCGGCACTGCTGTAGCTCGCGCAGGAGGAGCTGAATGTGCTTCGCTATGCCCTCTAGTCGAGGCTCCTGACATAGGAGGATCATGGCCATGTTGTCAGCGTATAGGACCGGGGCAGAGCTAGGCCGCTCACCTAAGTCTGTGAGCAAGAAAGTCAGTCAGCGGAGCTCCAATACCGCCATGGCACCAGCATAGATCTCAGCCTCACAGCTAGACTATGCAACAGATGACGAGTGGGTGGACCTCCACAAAATGGCGCCTGCACCAAGGCTAAAGCAGTAGCCCTAGGAGGACTTGAGCGTCTCAGCGTTGTCTGCCCACAAAGCGTCCGTGTGCCCTGTAAGGACCACTGGCATGCATCCTCCTAGCACTAGCCCCATGCCCGATGTACTTGGTAGATAATGCAAAATCCTCTTAACGACCGACCATTGCTGTGGTCGGTGTCTGCCTGTGGCCACAAAGCGCGCCAGGATGCTGAGAGGGTATGCAAGATCTGGACGAGTGCAAGTCATCAGGTACATGAGGCAACCCACCACCTCTGCGTACGTACCACTAGGCTGTACTGACTCCTCAGGGACTGAAGCCGAAAGCATGTGATCTACTTGCAGAGGTGTGGGTTGTGCAGAGGAGAACTAACGACCGAACCTATGAAGGACCAGGCGCACCATGTGTGACTGTATGAGAGGGATGGTGCGCGCTGCTCTGTCTCTGGAGGTATGGAGGCCAAGGTAGCGGTGGAGCTCTCCTAGGTCAGTGCAGGTGTGTCTCCTTAGGAGCTCAACCTTCACGGAGGCCAGCGCATCTCCTTTCTGCAGTAGCGAAGACCAAGTCGTCTACGTAGACAAGGATGTAGAACGGGGTTTGGCCTAAACGAACGAAGAGCGAAGGGTCAGCAGAGGACGGGAAGAACTGCAGGTCAACTAACGTATCATGCAACGTGTCGTGCCGCTCGCGGGGCGCCTGCCGTAGGCCGTAAACCGGGCGCAGGAGGAGCCACTGGGTCCCAAGGGCGAAGGTGCCGGTGAAGCCCGGTGGGCGGCGCAGCTAGAACTTCTCGTGCAGACTGCGCTGGAGAAACGCTGTAGAGAAGTCGAGAGAGTGCAGCTCATAGTCACACTATACTGCTACGCGTAGCAGCACCCAAAGAGTAGTCATGTTCGGGGTCGGGGCGAAGGTGTGAAAGAAGTCAACACCACCACACTGAGTGAAACCTCTAGAAACGTAGCGCACCTTAAACACCGGCGGCTTTTTAGGAGGGCGCTTCACCTTGAAGAGCCACCGGCCATCAACTATGTTCACCCCAGGTGGAGGAACTACGTCGACGTAGGTGCCGGTGGATCTCCAAGATCCCATCTCCGTGTCCATGGCAGCTATCCACTGAG